CAAACAAATACATGCACATATGAAAAACACGGGTTCCATCACCGAGTGATTAAACAAATGTGCCATATGAAAAACAGCTCGTATGACGTTCTCGATTGTGGAGATTAACCATTCGTGTATCCCATCAAGACAAGTGCATTCTATTGGTAGTTGTGATATCTACTTTTTGACCTCTGTTAGAACGGTAACGCGCCTTAAATGTGATTGGATTTACTGGTTTCTCCTATTGCATTCGTGATAATGTCATCATCGAAATAAGCTACCAAGAACGTATTCAAAAATGAATGTCGCCCATTTCGCTGTAGGGATTGATGCAAGAATCCGCTTTTAACGTGGTGGAGAATGAATTCAATCATACGCCGAAGTGAACTCATAAAAACAAAAGAAACATGGCCACGGTGAATCACTTTTAAGTATAGGCTAACGAAAACAGATTTCACAAATGTTGAGATCGGTAGAACTTCGTTAATAAATACAATGCGGGTTTATCGTGCACTGAGTTGGTCGCCACAGAGATTACCGCACCGTGATCTGTTTGGCACAATGACTGGACGCCGGTTATTATGAAGTACAGTGATCTAATGCGGGTGAACGGGTTCCGATTAAGTAACGGCAAACTAATTATGCGGGAAGTTGAGCTAATTAAATTGACTCCAGCTTGCATGAGGACATGGGTAAATGGACAGAAGTGCGCTTAGAAGATGTTTGGGGTAGTCAAGAATCGTGTGAGTGAGGTTTCAATCAATTTGATTTGGTTATCACACCGTTTTATGGTGTAACTGTTCATGATAATCGGAGACGGCGGGCCGGTTATCGCCAAGGAGCAAAGAGGTGCATTCATATTAGTGAAGGGAAAGAAGATGGGGAAGAATTGGAGAAAGGAGCGCATAAATACACTTTGATACAAAATAATAAATGTACAAATGTCAAACGACGTAGTTGACAAACTTGGGCGGTTTAGTGGGATCTACAGTGCAGACTGCTCTACACCTAAACGCTTGGTAACTTTTGCTGTATGCTGTATTATTGACTAAGAACTAATGCTCGATAGGAAATGAATCCGCGAAGCGCTAAAATAGCATTCGGAAAATTAGGCATCCTACACGTATAAGCCCGATAGGTTGGATCCATGTTCTTACTAGCGCAGTCAACTGCCAAGGTATGATACTTTACGTGCTATGGTTGAAAATCTGTGCCACAAATTCACACCCCGTGCAGAGTTGACAGATCTTATGGGAGACATATAGAGTAAGTTTCGAATAAACGTAAAAACACATGGAGTGTATGAGAAAACCGTGGAAGGCTATGCATATGATTGAACAGTGTTTTCAAAAGTACCCCTTTGTCATCTTTTTCACTGGAAATTCCTGAGAGATGACGCTTAAAACACTACCCTAATGGAGACGAATCAAAACAAAATGAATAATACCTCTGCGAAAGCAAAGAGAAGAACATCACTGAACGCTGAAGCGAATCAAAGAAGTGAACCACGATTAACAAATGAGACGAATTGTTTCGCTTAGGGCATCGAGCATGTAGTTATTCGATTCCAATGCACGCTGGATGGAACAGCTTTGGTTTTTATTACTTCCATCAAATTTGGCAAGATAAAATTATCTGTCATTTCAAATTAGTTTTAAACAGTCATTTGAGCGTAGGGTTCATCATCTAGACGATGAATGACTAAGTAGTGAGGTTACATTCAGAAAGCTGCCTGTCTGACAACCGTCGAATATGGTCTAGAAGTCTTCATCTAGATGGGGACCAAATGCGTCTCAGTTAGCTTCTGCAGAGAAAGCCCTACTCATGGCGCAGGTGTTTCTTTGCCAATGTAATTGACCGAAAAGCCAAAATGCACGGCTATAAACCGGTTGATAAATCACTGACACTTCACTGCTAGGAGTTTGATAAAATCCCTGATCACAAAGTAATCAAGTGTGGGTGTACCACACCAGCAACACCAACTGCTTCTTCCATTCCCCTTATCAAAGCACACAAAATGAGTTCGTTGTACAAGCGAATCTACTGATCGATGTAAACTGTAATTACATTATTTTGATACATATGCCAGGTTGGAATCGTTATAAGCCACGTTTCCGTCACTCAGAGCTTGTGGTACGAAATTGAGGGATTTAACCTGATCAGAATTCTTACGTGCGGGCTGTGCTGGTTGTTCGCAATTCAGATCGATCTGAGGTTTGATTCCCAAGAGGTGAGCACATTTCTCTTCGACTGCATGCATTTGGGACTCACTCGTACTATACTCCATATGTTCGCCCTAACATAAGCAAAGTAAGTTGTACGTGGCACGTTTGCACGATGCATTGACCAAACCTATGTGAGCGAAAAATGGTCCAAGCGTTCAAACTCCCTCAAGAGTTTGTGGAAACCGAAAGAGAACAAATCTTGTCCTGGATGATTTGCTGTTCAAGTTGACTCCTGTTTGCATGAGAACATTGGTAAATGGATTGCCTTTGTGTTTACTGTGTCGCCTGATGTAACTTTTCTCCACTTGGATCAGCAAACACGACTTGTTCTCTGTTGTTTCTTCACACTAAGTCGAGGCAATTGAAGCGTTTGAACCAGTCCCTTTTAAGCATCCGTGATCGGGCAAAGTAAACGAATGGTGATCATCTGGATCGTTACTATTTTCCAAACTCCACCAGCTCTCGATCGATAGTGTGAATCACATCCTCATCCTGCACCCGGTGTATACGTGTTGACCCACGATCCTGAATAATCACTGTACAGAAATAGGTCAAAACACGCACTGCGCAGAATACATCGGCAGAACGTAATAAGCACTTGATTGTTCAGAGTTTACATCATGCTTTTGCGATGAAAGGAGATTGAATGACGCAAATTGTTCGTGTGATAATGAACTGAAGCGAATTATGCGGCAATCGTTTGACTTAAACCAACAAAAGTCTTCAAGGCTGTTTGAATTCATCGACATTCTAAGTGTTTAGAATTGCAGATTGCGTGGTTTTCTGAATCCGCACACTGCAATTAGTGGGGAACGCAAATGAACTTTATCATTGAGTTCAGTGGTTGCGAGAACTATTTAGTTTCTCAATAAAGCACTAATTCTCGATGCACTGAATTGATTTCGTGGAAAACGAGACAACTGATAAACTTGAATCGGTTATTCTGGTAGGTCTGCGTGTGAGCTAGGTAGTTTAGTGGTAGCTGGTCATGACGTTGGTCTATATGGCATAGCTTAGACTGGTCAGTGGATATGAAACATTGATGGTCTTGAAAATGAGCAAACCCAAAACATTTTACTTCTACAGTACATATCTGACTGGAAGAACCCGTTAGTATTGGAAAAGATGAACCCTAAATGTTGATGGATGAATGTTGGAGGATTTTGATGAATGATGCATCCTTATGCATGCATTGGAAATTGTCTCTGACAATCATTCCACTGTTGGCGGAAAACTGCACTGCAGATTCAATGGTTGGGAATGTTAGCTTAATGTACTGCTGTGTACACTAAGGAAAACAGCAACGGTGTTCTGCCGTTCGACTCTCTGGTTTGCTGTCCATCGTCCATATATTGTGTGCACCAAAAGGGAAGATTGGTTTTTGTTATTGTTAGGAATTCTCTAAGCATAAAGTCTACAGTTCGATTAAAATATGCAAGTTGGACAGCTAGAGAAAAAATATGAAGGAATGATGATAAAAATGATTGCAATCCCAAAACGGTTAATAATAACTGTGAAAACCTGTTCCTTGTCAACTAGAATGTGTGTTAATGAGGGAACCTTAGAGTTTCGATATGTGCTTATTAAAGACAGAACACCACGGCTGGGCACAAAAGAGGGTTGAATCCTCGGGTAGCAGATGTGTGGAGCCGATGTGATTCTTATGTGCAAACATTTCACATGCATTCAATTGATTCTCGCACCTGTTAGCTAATTACTAATACAGCGGGATTCAAAAGATGTGGCTAAGGATGGTTATTTCACTTCGAAGATGGTTAAAATCATTTTGTGGAGATTGGAAAATGTACACGTGAACAATAACGAAAAACGGGGGAAACACTGGTACAGTAAGGAGAGTTATGCATGCACTCAGACCTGCTTATTTACAAACATTCCACCTTGGGCAGAAAACGAAACTGGACTAGAGATGCAATGCTCGGAAAAGATAGGTTAATTCACAGGTGTGTTCACTAAGCAAAACGACAGTAGTGTTTGATCGTGCCTCACTCTAAATTCTGACAATTAGCTGCACAATTTCTCATGAAACGAGGAAAGATTATCGCAAACAATTTAAGGTGCACGGTATCTTCGAAATAAAAACACTGAAAGCTAGGCAAACAGAATTTCTTACAATGTGAGCAGGTACGCGGGAGGTGTTACTGGCGAAATAGGGTCTCTAATGACCAATTAGGTTCGTCATGAAGTATGTGACTGAACAAATGCCACTGAAGATTCTCCTCATGTGTTTTCATAATATGAGGCTAAATCCGGTTCTCACCGCTCGTGACCGTCTTGTGTGCACTATCTGCCCCGGTTTGCGTTACACACTGATGCAACCGCTGCAGTCACAAAGGTAACCGACTGTATAGCCGATGTGATCACTTGGATGGCGATAATTGTACGATGCTTTCCTGTTTTCCCCGCATCCAGAGGATCAGTTTGCTTCCTGAGTCGGTATTACATTCCCATCGAAGAATCGTTGAACACTACAAACAGTTCAATGGATAATCAAACGGCAAGCTTAAAACGACAAGACTTGTGTTGGATTCACATGGTTGTTGTGAATGTGACAGGGGTGAAACCAAGCAAACATTATATGGGTAAGTTCAGTGACGAGAAAAAGGAGACAAAATGTTCCAATCAGAAGGTAATTTCCGATCACACGTGCGTCAACGATGCCGTACAATTCAGGACCAAACTGACTGGATAAAAATATTCCAATCCTAACTTACTGGTGAACTCATCGTATGAGTCAGTCGTCACGTTTTGGTCAACATTTAGTCGCACTTCTCTCAGATAGCGCAACGGTGGTTGCTGCTTTTTACTTCCTGAATATTATATCTGCTTATAAAAAATAGTTGGAAGTGTACTGAAGAAGGGAAGGAGCATGAAGAACAATGTCATGATGCTCACGGAAATTATATTGTAAAATCAAATAATTTTAGCCTGAATTTCAAATTATTGAAGCATACACAATAGAAATCCTGACCACTGCGGCTGGTTTTCAGTGTTATAGCAGGCTTATATGCAAATCTATCAGTGGGAAAATGTTTGAGATTTGTCTGCGTGCGTGTGTCTGTGCTTACGGGAAACGTGGAGACATCATGAACTATGGATTTTGGAAGTATTGTCATCATTTTGGCCAGCATAGCCACAAAGCAAGCCGAAAGTTACGCTTTCGATAATGCAATATGGAATTTTCTGTCCGTTTAGAGTATCCAAAACACCGTTTCAAGGTGATAAAAGTGATAGGCGGAAACAGCGCGGATTGAAACAAGCAGTTGAGAGAACATCTAACGCCGCCTTCCTCATAATATTACACGACACGAAGCGATTGATCATTGAATCCAATTTAGACAAACCTTACTCTTCAGTTACCTCCTCTTGTGTTTATCTATTTAAACTTGCGGTACGTGAGGTAGCAAGTACGTCGGAAGAACTGAGAGAGGATTGTATACCAGGATAGCAGAGCATGCGCCGAAAAATTTGGCGTCTATCGGGTCCAAGCTTTCGTCCAGTTCAATCGCCCGACACGTGCTGGATTGCAAAGAATGTGACAATTCTAGGGACGCCTTTCGTATCTTGATCCTCCAGAAATGTAGCCGTTCATCGTAATCCTAACTTACTGGTGAACTCATCGTATGAGTCAGCCGTCACGTTTTGGTCAACTTTTAGTCGCACGGCTAAATCAAGTTCAGATAGAAGGTCTGCATTTCTATTGGGTTAGAGTATGACAATCTGATAGGCTGCCTGAAAAGCGAGCTAGCATATATATAATATTTTTTCTGACAGACAAATGCACACTACATATGACGAGTAAGACACGTTTGAGTTCATTTGTGGCGGATTAATGCCGAGGAGCAATTGATTATCAGCTTTAATTATATCCATTGCTGATCAGCATTCACTGGTATATGCAGAAGCTGTTAATGAAAATAAAAAGTGATATAATCAAACAATCTTTGAGATGCAATCATCAATCATGAAATTATCATGGAGTACCTAAATGTTCAAATAGAATCGTCGCATGTGATTTCACCTCGGTTTGACGTTTCGCTTTCAGGTCAGGCAAACATTTACACAATGTTTCTGGCACGTGTGCTTTGTGGGATTTTTATACTCTTCACATTAACGGAAACCATCCATGGTCAGAAAGGTGAGTGATATTGTTTCAGTAGAACCGCCATAGCATCCGTAATAATAATATAGTGTGACAATGTATCCTGCAATTCGTAAATTCCTTCACACCCTAGCCGTTAATGATATCAATGAACGGGAACCAAGTTTTTGTGCATTTGCTCTCGTAGTTTCTCAATTTATCTTTGAATAGTCAAGTGATGGATACATAGGGCAGACCACGTTGATGTGCGACCCAGCTATGAGCTACACACGATGAATTGTGATCATTCGGTTCATCCGATTGGTTGGGTTTGAGCCAAATAGCTTATCTCAAGCGTGAAATTAATTGTACCGAACTTCCGAATAGGCGGACAGCCCGCCCGTCTTGGGTTAAATTATCATCTATTCAAATCACTAAACCCAATTCACCAACCAATCCGATCTCTTGAATCTCATGCTCAATCACACAAATGAAACAGCCGTATGCATTTTCAATTAAATCCGCTGCTTACAAAAGCCGCCGAGTGAACGTGTTATTGCAAATACGGAGGCCAACAACCAGTTTGATTGTTGTTTACCGAAGGCGTCATATACATGCAACCAGTTTGCTTCTTCACCAAAACCGTTGGTCTATGCTCTGTGCTCGGCATGTATTCGTACACAGTAAAATATTTAGTTATACGTTCTCGTAACATATTTTGTATGATGATTGCATAGAATTGGCTTGCTCGATGGGGGCAGTTTACCGGAGTGGCATTTCTCAGTGGATACCTTGAAATCGATGATGCTTTGTTGTTTGTATGTACCGTGTAATCAAGATCTACGATGACTTGATAATGTGATTCATTGCTTGTTGAGTCGATGGGCATTCTTGGAGTGAACATCTCTGCAAATGGACTTTAACCAGTGAACCGAGCACGAAATTGTATCGTTACCCCCTTTTGTTACGGACACCAACGTTTTAGGACTGTCAACCATCAACCTCAAGGGAGACGATTCAGTTGAGCAGCGACGGTCTAGCAGTGCGAATCACACTTATTTAGAATCCCGTCATAACCAGTTAGTCTAGCAATTTTTGTATACTCCAGATCCGAGATCTTCTTGGTGACCAAGTTAGGTTTTATTTTGATGTCCTTTGCATTCCATGAACTCCAGAATAAAATTTATCCGAATTTTTATTGTATCTTTCAGTGGAAGAGTGCACAATACTTACGAGTGATGATGAATTTCGGTGAACTCATCCTTCTATAATATCTCCCCGAGTGTGATTGCCAATAATAATTCATTCACTAAATAACAGTTCTCTCTGAGTGAGAATTCAATCCAATGGATTATTAAGCGACTTGCCATACAGACAAGCCAGATGTGTGCTTTCACCAGGCAATTCTGTAAACAGTGAGAGGGCACAACGACATACCACCTAATAGAGATATAGAGCAATCCGCGAACTCGATTTGAAAACATTTCAAGAACGGATTGTCTTTTGCTGGAAGCTGTTATCTAAATGCGATTTCTGGAGAATAAGATTGCTCCGAATTCATGTTTTATTTTATTCACTTCGCTTTCTTTAAATTCGTGGAATCAACTCAAACAAAAAGCGTTCGTGACCCATCAACAAGAGGAAATATATCTACGAAATAATCGTTTAGGCCCCTGAGATTACGAGAAACGTCAGCGGAGACCAGAACACGTATTGCAAAATATTCCAATGGCAAACGGAACAACGTTATTAATGGTGGCGGGGTGGTTGTGGTTAGCAATAGGATCAGCACCAGGATTAGGGTTGGGTCAGCTTTAGGCTTAGTGTTAGGTTATTGATTAGGGTAAGTGTAAGGATTAGCGTTAGGATTAGGTTAGGGATAGGAATAAGGCTAAGTGTACTACTTTTTTATTACCCTTATTTTCTTCCACACAGAATGGTCCTACACAAAACCTGCTACGGCTCCCGAAAACTGGAAACAGAATTACCCCATGTGCGGTGGGATTTTTCAGTCGCCAGTTAACATTGAAGCAAAAGATGCGAAGTTTGATCCGCTTTTAAAGCCAATACGTATCTATCAAGATTTGCAGTACAGTACACTATTTTCCGTATTCAACAACGGGCATTCATGTAGGTAGCAGTATTTCGTTTAGTCTTTTAACGTTGCAGATTGTTTACTTTTTAAATTTCCGATTGGTATGTAGATGTCACATTTGGCTTGGATAGTTCAGAAAAAAGCTGAAGCAAACACCATTTAAATTTGATAATGAATATAATTATCTTCTGTGCTGAGAAAGAACTACGCGAGTAAAATTAATATACACCGTTTCGCACCCTCGCTCTTTTAGTTGACGTCAGATTTCCGAAGCTCTATTGGCGTATGTCTCTTCGAAACGCAACTCGCGGTGAATATTGTCTTGACCACATGCAACTTCATTGGGGATCAAACAGTTCACTTGGTTCGGAGCACACTGTGAACGGGAAACCATACGCGTTGGAGGTAAGTGGCGTAGAAAAGCGCCTGTATGACTGAGACCATAACGCGTGCATCAGCCGTTGAATATTTACAGATTTGAAGTTTGTATTTAAAATGAGTTTATAGTTTTCCCGAATAAATTGATTTATGTCCAAAAAATATCTCGATATGATCGAATTTAGAAAGGTCCGATGGCATCGGTTGTATTCGGAACCATTTATGGACGGGGCCTTCACTTCCGGACAGCCCATTTTCTAACAGCTGAATAAACGGCCACACGAATAACAACCTACTTTTCGTATTAGGATCATCCACCCATATTAAGTTGTCCAGGTGGAATTCGAGCTAATTGCCATGGCAGGTTTTCCTTCGAATTCGTTAAACCGTTCACAATACGCACCATACCGACTAACCTGAACAAATAGCTCACTGTTCTTCATTTTCAATTTTTTATGTTTTGCCCGGAACACAGGCACAGTTGGTCGCGTTCAACTGCGATGCGTATGCATCACTCGAAGAGGCCTCTTCCGCCGCGTATGGTCTGGCCATTTTGAGTTTTCTGGGAGAGCTACAAGAGAAGGTGGACAAAGAAGATACGCTCATGGGTAGAATAATGGGGTTGGAAACAACGCTGTACAAAACGCCGTTGGCCGATAATAACATAGAAATCACCACATCCAACCTTTCAAAGATAATGGATCTGGTGAATCCCTCGCAGTACTACAGATATATTGGTTCTGAAACTTCTCCAGACTGCTCCCCAAATGTCGTTTGGACGATCTTCAAAAAACCTGTACCCGTGTTATCTGAACAAGTAATAATTTTTTGAGTGACCGGATGTAGAGCCTTACGTACAACGTTATCAGTGTTGGAGAATTTAAATTTAACTAAATTACTCGAAAATGTGATTTTATATTGTGAAGAAACCATCAGTTTTATAACCGTATTGCCAGAATCATATGTATGTATATATACATATATAAGTTCAGCTCTGATGGCTTGCGATTCTCACCCTAATGTCGCTCACCTCAGAAAATAGTCCAATCAATCACAATTCTTGATTTAAAACTCGATTTACCTACTGAAAATTGTAGGGCGCTTTGCGCTGAAGCCTATTCATTTTTCTTTTGTCATTCCATTCTCAAAGCCTCAGTATGGTCGGAGGTGGGTATCTTGGGTTGTGGCTGGTCACTCTTTCCTTGCATCTCACGAAATACTCCGAAACGACCGAGCTCCTCAAATAGCCTCATTGCTTTTGTGTGGCGGAGATGTTTTATTACCAGAGTGAGAGGACGAAAATCCAACATCCGGTTTGGTAAACTACTGATAGTTCACCTAGAGGAGTTGGCTAAAATTCTTGATTCCAAACCACCTAAGAGGAGGCGTACGAACCACACCCACCGTGAATTTTGTAGTGGTCACTGCCCCGATTTGACATGGAAGCGTATTGGGCATATTGGACGATTGACCCTGTCCAAAGGGCGTATAATCCAACGAACTGAACATTGGTCCACAACGGATCGCGATTTTCCCACATCACTCCGCTGTCTTATGTGCCAGGCTTGGGTTAGCCGAAGGATCCGGTTGTGAGTTGTCTAAGAAAGTTCACCTGCCTGGATCTGAACAACCTAGCAGTATTCCGCCTACATACAAATCATGAAACGTGTTTCTTTCATAGAGGATCCTTGGACTGTGATTTGTTTGGCACAGTCTGGCCTTAGACGTGTTTGAAATATATGAAATATTCTCGATAGATGACACGTTTACACATCTTTCTACAATATCTACCTCTGACGCTAACAATGTACTCCTTGGTTTATGTGCCACGTTGCTATTTTCCTCCTCTAAAGATCCGAAATTAATTACATTCAAATTCAGAATCTAATGATCGAAACGTTTCTCGCAATCATTATTCACAGAGTACATTTTCTTAAATGCGGTGATCAAGATATCATTTAGCTTTTACATGTAGATGATGCTCTGTCAAGCATTCAGCGCAATCCGGTTATTATCATGTTCCACACCAGTGCTGGTAAAACGTTCGTCAGCACATACACACTCCCTGTTTTTCGCTCAATTGCGGCTTAATTACGTGTATTGTTCACGATGCAATCTATGCTTGAACTGTCATTCTGTTTATTGACGAGCCTTTTTAAATATATGCATATCAATAACTGAAATGATTAACTATTGAGAAAAAGCTCATCCACTTTCAAAACCAATATCACATTTATCAAAATTAATTATTGCAAACAGACTTTCACAGGTCACAACTGTTTTCGATCTTTCCGATTTCTTAGTTGAATATCCTGACATACCAAATGTTTGGCGATTTGGAATCGGAAAAATTGATGAGTAACAATTTTCGCCCAGTTCAACCTCTGTCTTCGCCCGACAGTCCCCTGGTCAGGGTGGTTTACGAATCAGCTGGCACACATCCGACGGCAATCAGTCTGTTTTTGGTCTCTCTGTATACACTGATTGAGCAACTATTGTAACCGCTCCTACTCTGATCCAGTTTATTCCGGAAGGCAGCTACTTGAGCACTTTTTCCGCACTTTGTCAATGATTATTAGTCATGTACAAATTGACGAGTGATCTAAGCTATTACCTTCTCCTCTTTTCCTTTTCTTCACACCAGCGTTTCAGTATTCTCTTTCAATCGTCTCATTGCTTCCTAAGTGTTGTGCACTCTTCCACTGAAAGATACAATAAATATTCGGATAAATTTTATTCTGGAGTTCATGGAATGCAAAGGACATCAAAATAAAACCTAACTTGGTCACCAAGAAGATCTCGGATCAGACATTGTTTGGGGTATAGCTTTTCAGTCTATACTACTCACACAATCTCCATCATCTTTAAAATGAAGGCAGGTTACCCTGTTGTGTCCATGCAGTATATATGCCTTGGTTTCTTCCTGGTGCTTTTTACTTACCAATGAAGGCAGATATCGTCTTTTTTATCCGGCTTTGCGTAAAGTGTTCATTGAATCAGGGACATGGGGGTACCAATTGCGTTTCACTGTTTTGTGTAAAACGATGGAACATTCAACGATATTGAAGCACTAAGCGCCGATTAGTTTTGGAACGATGAACCAAATTTCACATACGTCAATGTTTTCAAACTATGGGCCATATGGTATGCACTGGGGGAAAAACCCACTGCTGCTATTTGGAGTCCGAATTCCTTCTTTCAGTTAAACAGGAAAATAAAAGATCAAACGGATTGATTATGGAGATCTTGAACAAATTGAAACTCCTAACCTCGACGTTATTGAAGCTCTGGAGATAATTCAGCAAATAAATGACCGTAAGCGTAAATAAGACAAAAGTTTAGAATGGCAGCACTTTTTCATAAAAAGGCCGAATCCAGAGAAAGCGAAACATAAAAGCAAAAGTCAATTCTTTTTCTGTTTAACGTTGGTCGCTTGTTTGCGTCTCTAAATTTTAATAAAGAAGCCAAAAACACAGGTTTGCACAATGTGTTGTGGATTATTTCGCTGCATCTGTGCAGGTGCACACTGCAGTCAATGTGATCATTACTATGTGGTCAGTAAATAACAGAATCATAGGTGGAGAAAGATTGCGGTCAAAATTACTCACTAAACACATTTGTTACCAAGGTAGCGTCAGAGTGATAAGCCATTCACGCTGTTTACACGGTTTGGGACCGTAATTTTGAATGGCTAGTGCCCCGGCGTATTTCACAACCTTGATGTTGTTTGTATTGTAGAGGATTCTGAACGCGTCGCGCAGCAGGACACTGTTTCATTTCGACCAGGTGTTGTGTGATCGATGAACTGAGTTTCCTACGGATCATTGGTGACCTCATACTTCCGAAGTTCCCACTCACTGTTTTCTGAAACCAGACCGGGATGTGCTCGGTTACTCGGCAACGCAGTTGTCTCTTCGTTCTGCCGATGTAGATTGCCGAGCATCCAAACTTGAACTGATAGATGCAATTAAATTTGGCATAGGGAGACAGTGGTTCTTTCAACGATGGTATTGGCAACCGGGTGGCTTTATAAAAGACGATGGGGTCGGCTGCTTAATAGGTGCGCTTAACGGCCGATTTTAGGCGCTTGGTAATCAGGCAGTTGATACCGTCATCTTTGAAGGGCAGTTGCAGGACCACTCTTATCTTCTTTGTACCTGGTGTATTCCCGAGTACGGTTGGGTTGGGAGTGCTTTAAAATGAACCCTTTCGGATGTCCGTTAGAGTGTGAAACTTTTCTCATCTTGCCACATTCGTTATCCAATGTATCCATTGTGCAAATCACTCGCACCCTGTAGAAGAGCGTTCGAACTAGACGCATCGTATATCCCATTAAAGCAAAGCTAGTAAATGGAGATATTGTCCGGTTCATGTATCTTTTCGGTACACAGATCTTCTGATCGACCCATTCTATCGACGTGAAACTTCCACATTCATAAACGCGATGCGGTATTGCGTTTCAGTGTGGCGTGTGAACCTTATGTTCGGGTTAAGATTATTCAAATAATCTGTTCAAAAAATCTCTGCCCGTCTTCTTTTCTTTCACAAATGATATAAATATACATAAATATACAAATGATATATAATGATATGAATATATCATCAACATACCGGCAGTATAGGTCCAGCTTTTTAATTTCGTCCGTTAATTGATTAGGATAGAACGTTGTTCGCGATAATCGAATCGTATGTGCTTCAAGTGCCCAATGTTAGGAATAATGGTACTAAGCATGAAAGTTTGAAAATCTTTAGTAAAATTGATAATTAGGCGATTGGTAGAAATTTCCCTGCTTCCCTTTTGGGCTAATATCATGTGCGCAGGTCTCCAAAAGTTGGCACCTTTTAGTTTCTCCAAATAAAGGTTGAAAATGCCGGTAAATGCTTCAGCCAGATACAACGCACGTTACCTGAGGACGACAGGACCGGGGTCTGCGCCCGCGCCTGATTAAAATTGACATGCATAACTCCACGATCGCCAACTGATTGGAAAGATGACTCCGATATTTCCAGTAGAGTTAACGGGGAAAACATGGAGTTAATTTCAATTTCAATGAGTTGGGGCTTAAGTAGTTTGATGTTCGCGCAGCCGAGTATTCTTTATTGCACTCCAGGTTTGCTTGCAATTCTGATCACCAAGTATGGTTTCT